TGTGAGCAGCGTATATCTTGCAAACCTTGCAGGCTGTGGCAGCGTATACTTGCAACCTTGCAGGATGTGAGCAGCGTATATCTTGAAAACCTTGCAGGCTGTGAGCAGCGTATATCTTGCAACCTTGCAGGCTGTGAGCAGCGTATATCTTGCTGTCACACGGGTAAGAACTTTGTATAATGTACATTATAACAGCGCTGAAAAATTTAATCTGAATGAATGAGACTTTCTGAAGTAATTAACGAAAATTTAAAAAAGTAACCCAAAATATTATTGGGAAAGTTCCAACAACTTGGGTCTAAACTTATTAACATAAAACTCGCCATAAAAGCGTGAACATTTATTTCGTACAGTTTACTTTTATCATTATCATTCTATTGAAATAACTCTTCAATTTTAAAAGAAAAATATTTAATTTTGATTTAAAAAAAAATCCAATTTCAACACATTTTTACTTGTTTTTTGGTAAATTGGGACACACGTCACCCCAGAGATATTAAAAGAGAAGCAATTTACTTAATAAAATTGGCAAATTGAAATTAGTACAGGTTAAAGTGACTGATAAACTGTTTAAAAACAACCGTGAAAGAAAGACTGAAGGGATTCTCCAGTAATTCATCTGATCTCAGCAGTTCCAAGTTTTGATGTAATTTTAGTAAAATTTAATATTTGCAATTATTGGCACAGAACTTCTGGGAAACCATACTTCATGTGACATACTTCATGTGACATACTTCATGTGACATACTTCATGTGACATACTTCATGTGACATAAATTCATGTGACATATTCATGTGACATACTTAATGTGACATACTTAAAGTGCATACTTCATGTGACATACTTCATGTGACATACTTCATGTGACATACTTCATGTGACATACTTCATGTGACATACTTCATGTGACATACTTCATGTTTACATACTTCACGTGACATACTTCATGTGACATACTTCATGTGACATACTTCATGTGACATACTTCATGTGACATACTTCATGTGACATACTTCACGTGACATACTTCATGTGACATACTTCATGTGACATACTTCATGTGACATACTTCATGTGACATACTTCACGTGACATACTTCATGTGACATACTTCATGTGACATACTTCATGTGACATACTTCATGTGACATACTTCATGTGACATACTTCACGTGACATACTTCATGTGACATACTTCACGTGACATACTTCATGTGACATACTTCATGTGACATACTTCATGTGACATACTTCATGTGACCCTACTTCACGTGACATACTTCATTTTGACATACTTCATGTGACATACTTCATGTGACATACTTCATGTGACATTTCTTCACGTGACATACTTCACGGACATACTTCATGTGACATACTTCACGTGACATACTTCATGTGACATAAATTCACGTACATACTTCATGTGACATACTTCACGTGACATACTTCATGTGACATACTTCATGTGACATACTTCACGTGACATACTTCACGTGACATACTTCACGTGACATACTTCATGTGACATACTTCACGTGACATACTTCATGTGACATACTTCACGTGACATAATTCACGTGACATACTTCACGTGACATACTTCATGTGACATACTTCATGTGACATACTTCATGTGACATACTTCATGTGACATACTTCACGTGACATACTTCATGTGACATACTTCATGTGACATACCCTTTATGTGACATACTTCATGTGACTACTTCATGTGACATACTTCACGTGACATACTTCATGTGACATACTTCACGGACATACTTCATGTGACATTTCTTCACGTGACATACCCTTTATGTGACATAAATTTTACGTGGGCATACTTCATGTGACATACTTCATGTGACATACTTCACGTGACATACTTCATGTGACATACTTCACGTGACATACTTCATGTGACATACTTCACGTGACATACTTCATGTGACATACTTCACGTGACATACTTCATGTGACATACTTCACGTGACCCTACTTCATGTGACATACTTCATGTGACATATTTATGTGACATACTTCATGTGACATACTTCACGTGACATCTTCATGACATACTTCATGTGACATACTTCATGTGACATACTTCATGTGACATACTTCACGTGACATACTTCACGTGACATACTTCATGTGACATACTTCACGTGACATACTTCATGTGACATACTTCATGTGACATACTTCACGTGACATACTTCATGTGACATACTTCATGTGACATACTTCATGTGACATACTTCATTTGACATACTTCATGTGACATACTTCATGTGACATACTTCATGTCACATACTTCATGTGACATACTTCATGTGACATACATGTGACATACTTCATGTGACATACTTCATGTGACATACATGTGACATACTTCATGTGACATACTTCATGTGACATACATGTGACATACTTCATGTGACATACATGTGACATACTTCATGTGACATACTTCATGTGACATACTTCATGTGACATACTTCATGTGACATACATGTGACATATTTCATGTGACATACTTCATGTGACATACTTCATGTGACATACTTTATGTGACATACTTCATGTGACATACTTCATGTGACATACATGTGACATATTTCAATGTGACAAAACTTCATGTGACATACTTCATGTGACATACTTCATGTGACATACTTCATGTGACATACTTCATGTGACATACTTCATGTGACATACTTCATGTGACATACATAGTCAATAATACTTGGAACATAATCAAACAAAGCTTTCTTTAGTACTGAATAAAACTTAGTCTCAGCGTTTATTTAAAATTCCCAAAATGGGAATTATGCCAAGCAAAGCAGCTTCAACTTTGTGTTCAGGAAAGCTAACTAGTGGTGTTAGCTGAAGTTTATCTAACAAGTCATTCTCCAGTCATGGCACAGATTCCAACGATTCCAAGTATTTTTGTCAGTATTTTGTTGTATCAAACAACTTTCATGCTGCCAAACAAAACTTCATTCGTACTGTCCTGGCCTTAAGATGTTTAGAAGGCCAGATCCGGCCCTTAAACCGAAACACTCCGGCCCTCGGTCCCTAAGAGGAATATTATATCAAACCTGCCCACAAGCTTTTTCATCTGCCATGAGATTATTGTCTCAAGTATCTTGTCTGTGATTGACAACAGTGACAGTCGTCTGTAGTTGTAGAGTTCCGCGTTGCTTTTCGTTTTGTGAACAGGGACTATATTTGCTGTTATTAGAGAAAATCATTTACACTGTGCTGGTAGTGCTTTTAGATACTAGCTGGACTCTACATTTACTCAACAATATTGAGCTCAACTTATCTGGACCCACAACCAGTTTTGTTCCAGGGCTTTAAGGAGATGATACACTTCATCCTGCCTTATTGTCACTACTTACAAATTTGACACAGTTCTTGTGGGCAGCCAAGGAGGTTTCCCTGGATGGATCTGGAACTTGCATCTTGGCAGCAAAGTTTTCAACAAAGAGGACAGCTTTCTTCTGATTGCTAGTAGAAACGGTCCCATCTTGCCGATTTAGAGGTGGAATAAATTTATCAGGTGAATAAATTTGTCGGTCCTTGATAAGAAGCATCTGATTTGGATTCCACTCTGTCTGACGTCAGCTTTCTTGAAATGGCCCACCTTTGGGCTTCTTCGTTTGCCAACAGATTTGCCTGTGCAAGTTCCTGTTATAGATAGTGGGTTGCCTCTTATACCTTGTTCGAGACTTGTTCTTGGTAGCTGCAACCTCTCTGCAACGAAAGCTGATCTGAAGGATTCATCACTTTGCCGGTGAGGAATGTGTTTGTGTTGGAGATTAAGGATTGTTCACTGAAGGCATTCACTTGCTTGTCGACACCTACAAGAAGAGCATTTCAGTCGGAGGCGGCGAGCTCAGAACAAAGGGCCGGCCCGTTTCCTCTTTCCCACAGCCAGGTTGTGAGCGTAGATTACTCATTTCGTTCTGTTGGAGTGTTCAGTGTCGTAAAGACAGCCTTGTGGTCAGGTGATCCAATATATCCAGGGGTCGGCAAGTGACTATGCCTTTAGATAAAACGCTCACTAGTTCGATTGAGGGAGGAGCCTATGTGCATTGGGAAGTCAGCGAAGTTTCTCATATCAGATACTGCAAGAAGTTCATCAGAATCACTCTGAATAAGATGTTGTTTAAGTTCACCTGCTGAGATGTCAAGTGCCAACATTTGACATCTCAGCAGATGTCAAGTGCCAACACTTGACATCTCAGCAGTACCACCACCTGCCACCTCAGTAGTGCCAACACTTGACACCTCAGGATTGCCTACACGCTGACATTCTTGTTGAGGCAGATGGGAGTCCACATTTTCATCAGGAAGTTGATGAGGTATCTTGTTGCCACTTTGGTCTGTACATTGTACACGCTACTACAGGGGTGTTAGTGTTTATGTATAGCTTGAAGAACATCATTTCTAGGTGATCAGGGATGGCAGCATTAATAAGCTGGACATGTACACTTTTAGAAAAGCATATGACAACGTTTCGTCCTCGTCCTTGTCTGTATCTTCTCATCCATGAAGTGTAGCCAGCAATTCTCTCTCTCTTTATACAAACTTTAACAAGTTTAAGTTTAGGGTTCCTAATATTATTTACAAGCTAAAAGCAGTTACCTGTGTCAGCTCATTTGAAAGCCTCTATATTGTTAAGAGATACACAAATAGGGATCAGGATGAAGTTGAAGCCATCTGTGGCCAGCGACTCATTTAGTCAACTGATTGTATTTCTTTGTTGTCGATATGCTGTACAAACATGTTCCAGACTCATTTCTTCCTATGAATGTATGATCTCACTTCATCTAAAATCATTTATTCCTAGGATGACTCGAGTCTGGAACGTGTTCGGAAACCAAAACAACAACAATGAAATGAAATCGTTGTTCTCAGATGGCTCTAACTTCATCTTGTTCCACTATTTCTCTCTCGTTCTCTGATAAAAACAATGTTTCTTCAGCATGAGAGTGTACTGGTTGCTGGTAGGACTGATGGTGCGGTGATGGTGTACGACGCGCGCCAGGCGCTACTACCCCGGGTAGTAACATCCTCCACCACCAGTGGCAAGCACCTCCTACCTGTATGCCAGGTACTGTATCCTCTTTTTTATTGTATGCCAGTGTTATTGTTATTATATTAGTATTAGTATTATTATTATATTATTATTATATTCTTCTTCTTCCTCTTCTTCTTCTTCTTCTTCTTTTACTGATTATTATTGTTTTTATTATTATTATGATTACTTCCATTTGAGGGTGAAATTCGAACGGGTTTTACATCGCCTGGTGGAATCGGAGCCAGTCGGACTTGATCAAAGGAAAGGGAGCATAAATGTCTTTCCTAAGGTCAAGAAATCCCTCTAACCGAACATACAATGCTAGGTACTGGTGTTTGATCTCGTGTATTGTATGTCAGGTATTACCTCCTCTCTACTTTTTAATGCCAGGTATTACAACCCAGGGACAATAAGGCCTGTTATCCTGGGTGTAAAGGGGAGCAAGGAGCAAAACACGCTTGAATGACTTTGAAATATATTTTCCTGCACCAAGAGAAACGTGGATATTTACAGGTATGTACACAGTTGGAAAATGTATATGTACAACACGGTTTAGGCAAAGCCAAGACACAGCCTGGAGACAGAATGGACAACCGTGCTCAACTAGCTCTAGTATGGAAATGACAAGGGTAGACAGGTGGGTGGTGCTCACAGCACCTCTATGATTGCCAGAACCATCTTCTCACTGGCTGAACCAGGGTACTGATCAAACAATGGGGCCCCATCGTTAGACCCTAGTACTGGTTCGCTGGATGCGCCGAATGAATTTTACGTACTATTTGCATGCCACACCCTCACCCTGAGAGGGCTTAGGAATTGGCTCCGACCTCCTATTGGCAACCGTGCCACCATGGCACCATTTAATGGGACTGCCTTTCCTCTCAACCATCCAACTCTTAGATAGAGCTCAGCTTTATTCGTGACACAAAGCCAAACCCTAAACTAAGAGCAAGACAGCAGACAATAGGGCTAATGTAGGTCCAAGATATGGGTGGATGGTAACCCGCAACCCCTCACAACAACCAAAAAGTAACCCACAACATATATAAAGGGAAAAAAATGAGCTAGAAACCGGTTATCAAGGTCCCTAACACATCCTAACCTAATACATATAAAATTTAGATACTTGACAAAGAGTCTGCCAACTTATTTTCTTTACCATGGATATGTTTTACCCTGATATTATTTGGTTGCGGCCTGAGTGACCAGCTCATGATTCATGTGTAGAAGTAGTAGTAGTAGTAGTAGCATTAATACAGTATGTTAGAACATATAACTCGCACTAATGCATTAATCCATATTGTATTAATACTACTACTACTACTACAACTTATATCACTACTACTACTACCACTAGTATTGCACCTCACTATGAGCCTATATATACCCTCTGTGTCCATGTACTGTTTGTAACAGCTTAACAAAGCTCCTGGAGAGAGAAACGTTGCCACAATAAAATGTTACATTAGTTGCACTTGTGTCCTTTTACTTTACATATTGTCGGTAATTCTACCAACTTTATTACATCCTCCAATGTTGACAATCTCTCCTCATGCCAGGCTGTTGAAAAGAGAAAAGGGACCGCTCGGACAAGGAGCGGTTAGTTTCAAAGGTATCAGCCAACCTGGCTGCCTCCAATGCAGTGGTTAAGTCACGATCCTGCAGAAAGACTAACCTCTTGTCCCACAGAGTCCAGCAGGTTATCTACTAAGATGAGCTGCACAAGATCATCAAAAATGGCAACACCACTTGCTTTATACCAGCTGGTAAAAGCTTTGATTTGCTGTCTTACAAAATCAACCAGAGATTGACGATGCTGTCGTCTGCCTAACTTAAATGACTTCCTATACTTTACTTAGCCGGAATGCACTGGTATGCTCCAATAACTGTGGTCTTCACCACTTTGTAATTGGAAAAATCAGTGTCATTTAACACTGATGTAAATTCCTGTGCCTTACCAAGAAAAACTGTTTGCACCAAAGACGCCCAATGCTGTTCCGGCCACCTCAAGGCTCGAGCCTGATTTTCGAAAGTTTCGAAAAATTGTTCAGGTTCTGCCTCATTGAAGTGTGGAACAAGCTGTACTGCTTTCTGTAAACTAAAGTCATTTACAACTTGAGAAAACTGCCTCCTTTCTTTTTCTATATCAAATTCTTCCCTGGCATATAATCGCTGTTCCCTAGTCTGTTCGAGATTGATTTTCGCAAACTCAAGTGCCAACGCAGCAGCAGATTCACCTTCAGACAACCCTGTCGCATGAGAGTGAAGATTTTGCTCAGTTGGTGTATCATTTTCCTCCTGGGAGAACATCGTATAGGGAGGAGTTTGATGTGCCATCTCCTCGAAGTTTGATACTTATAAGAGAACGAAGTTGCGCAGCTGTGAGTACATTCGTAATCAATGCCAATGGAATGAGCAATTTGCCAACAACGCTGTAGAGAAAATTTAGAGAAGTTTAATGAAGTGTATTCAGACACCAGAAGTCTGACTCGTCTAGGCAGAATACTCCAACGTAACGCGATATTTGCAATACACGCTTAGCTATGCACAGTATGACTGCAGAATACGCACATACAATAACAAGGCTGAGACAATAGCAAAGCCGACTGCAAAATATTCACAAAACAGCAAGATTCACCATAGCGAATCGAGCACCATTAACAAGCTAATAACAAGCTGTCAACGATCGTACAATAATAGGCTGACCATAAAACAAAGCTAACACATTGTCAGACAGCAAGCTACACAATGTTCCTGCTCCAGCTTCACCCTAGGCTCAACTCGTGCTCTAAGTCCAGTTCCAGCTCCCGGACAGGCTACCCATATTACAACCCAGGGACAATAAGGCCTGTTATCCTGGGTGTAAAGGGGAGCAAGCAGCAGAACAAACACAGCTGAATGACTTTGAAATATATTTTCCTTCACCAAGAGTAATGTGGATATTTACAGGTATGTACATTGTTATTGGAAAATGTATATGTACAACACGGTTTAGGCAAGGCCAAGACACAGCCTGGAGACAGAATGGACAACCGTGCTCAACCAGCTCGAGAATGGAAATGACAAGGGTAGATAGACGGGTGGTGCCCACAACACCTCTACGATTGCCAGAACCAAATTCTCATTGGCTGGACCTGGGTACTGATCAAACGATGGGGGCCCCATCGTTAGACCCTAGTACTGGTTCGCTGGATGGGGAGATAGCCTTTCAATGAGGGTGTGTACATGCACTGAATAAAGGTTACATACTTTTTGCATGCCACACCAGGTAATGTCAACTATCTAGCATTGTATGTGAGATTCTATCTTTACTATTACCACCATAAACCAAGTTCTTCCTGTAATGTTTTCTTACTTTTACCGTCTTGCCATTATTAATAGCACTTCTTGCTAGCATTCATTGTACTGGATGTTTTTAACATTATTTTCTACAACCAACATATTCTCCTTGTTTGCCAAATACTGCTTGTTCACCTCCACTGCCAACACCATTATCTCCAGAATTCAGCTACTCATTTCTGTATATATTATTTTATATATATATATATATATATATATATATATATATAATATATATATATATATATATATATATATATACATTGAAGCATATATGTGAACAGTATTTAGATAAAGATAGGGAAGTTTTTATTGCATTTATGGATTTAGAAAAGGCATATGATAGAGTGGATAGAGGAGCAATGTGGCAGATGTTGCAAGTATATGGAATAGGTGGTAAGTTATTAAATGCTGTAAAGAGTTTTTATGAGGATAGTGAGGCTCAGGTTAGGGTGTGTAGAAGAGAGGGAGACTACTTCCCGGTAAAAGTAGGTCTTAGACAGGATGTGTAATGTCACATGGTTGTTTAATATATTATAGATGGGGTTGTAAAGGAAGTAAATCTAGGGTGTTTTGGAGAGGGTGGATTAATTTATGGGAATCAAATTCAAAAAGGGAATTGACACAGTTACTTTTGCTGATTATACGTGCTTTTGGAGATTCTAAAGAAAAATTGCAAAGGTTATGGATAGTTTGGAAATGGTGTAAAGGTAGAAAGTTGAAAGTGAACATAGAAAAGAGTAAGGTGATGAGGGTGTCAAATGATTTGGATAAAGAAAAATTGGTATCAAATTTGGGAGGAGGAGTATGAAGAAGTGAATGTTTCCCGAACTTGGGAGTTGACGTGTCGGCCGGATGGATTTATGAAGGATGAGTTAATTCATAGAATTGATGAGGGAAAAAAGGTGAGTGGTGCGTTGAGGTATAGTGGAGTCAAAAACGTATCTATGGAGCCCAAAAAAGGATGTATGAAATATAGTAGTTTTCCAACACTCTTATGGGGTGAAGCTTGGGTGGTAAATGCAGCAGCGAGGAGACGGTTGGAGGCAGTGAGATGTCCCTTTTTAAGGCAATGTTGTTGTGTAAATATTATGCAGAAAATTCGGAGTGTGAAATTAGGAGAAGGTGTGGATTAAAAAAAGTATTTAGTCAGAGGGCAGAGGAGGGGTTGTTGAGGTGGTTTTGGGCATTTAGAGAGAATGGATCAAAGTAGAATGACATGGAAAGCATATAAATCTATAGGGAAGGAAGGCGGGGTAGGGGTCGTCCTCGAAAGGGTTGGAGAGAGGGGGTAAAGGAGGTTTTGTGGTAAGGGGCTTGGACTTCCAGCAAGCGTGCGTGAGCGTGTTAGATAGGAGTGAATGGAGACGAATGGTACTTGGGACCTGACGATCTGTTGGAGTGTGAGCAGGGTAATATTTAGTGAAGGGATTCAGGGAAAACCGGTTATTTTCATATAGTCGGACTTGAGTCCTGGAAAGGGAAGTACAATGCCTGCACTTTAAAGGAGGGGTTTGGGATATTGGCAGTTTGGGGGGAAATATGTTGTGTATCTTTATATGTGTATGTTTCTAGACTGTTGTATTCTGAGCACCTCTGCAAAAACAGTGATATGTGCGAGTGTGGTGAAAGTGTTGAATGATGATGAAAGTATTTTCTTTTGGGGATTTTCTTTCTTTTTTGGTCACCCTGCC